GATATTCATGGCCTTTGAATTATGTCCTCTTTGACCCTATTTCTTCTCTCATTTATGTTACAGTACCATTATTGATGTAGTTCACTGACAGTAATTTAAAAATTGGGGGAATATTGGAATCTGAAATTTGGTAATTAAATCATTAGGTAAATCATACATACTTCTTCCTTGCAAAAAACAAAAAATAACTTTTAAGAGAAAATAACAACAGGGATGAACAAATGTACCTCAGTTTTCCCAGGGGAAATTGTGGTCAATTACTCAATAAATAATGATAATGTACCTACAATTAACAGGTTTAAATTTTCTGCGTTTTCCTCTAATTGAAGGTGTTAGACAGTAAATTCAATTCTGAAGTTCTCATCAGTTTCTCTTTAAATGTTTCCAATAGTTTAATACTTACTTATTAAGGAAATCTTTATCCACTACAGCAGTGATGTCAAGAAGAGGATTTCCCATTCCAAAGAGAATATTTTCACTAAAAAACAAAAAACGAAAAACAAAAACATATATGTATATATATATATAAGTACAAGTTAGAAATACTTTGAAAAGTTGACATGCATAATGCACACGAGTATCTTTACTTCATCTTGAAAATATACATTACATACTAGTTTATTAAACCTTTGATTTGCCTATTACATGTAGGACAATATTTTAGAGGTAGCACAAAGCCACTCAGAAAGGATGACTCTTCAATTGGATGAAATATAACAAAAGAAGAAACCAAATCATGTGATTTTTTCATAATATTCGACAGCTAATAACTGAAGTTAATCAATTTCGATTCTTTTAAAGATCTATTATGACAAAGTTCTATATTCTAATAAACAATGAACTCCAGTAAGATACCCAACTACTGAAAGTTATTAGGGAGCATGAAACAAGTCCTGGAGGAGTCCAGGCAAGAGCCCTTGACAAACTATAAGTGACCTTGGTAGGGCCTTCACAATGAGTATCATAAATGAAGTAATTTTCAATTACATTTAACAGACTTTAACGAAGTCTGTTTTACATAATTGATCACAATATGTCTCAAAAACAAGAGAAAACACAATAGAATATATAGGTGTCAATACGATTATATAATTTTCAGGTGTATATATATATCTATATAGATATCTAGATATCTATAAGTGATGCCTTATAGATACAAGTGATGCCTTAAACAGGAGTCCAACTGACAACAAGAAATGAACCTGTGGCTATGGCTGGGTCAGCATCAATGGGAGGTATTCTTCTAGTTTACTCAATAAAATTTGCCTCTATAATTTCCCATTGGTCTCTAGTTTGCTAAAGATCTCTTCCAGTTGCCTCCAAACAAGTTACCATCTTCACCATTTGGAAACTATCAGTAACATCAATAGGACTGATGCCCAGGGTTTCTTTCAGAGAATGAGATACAGCCTGCAATTATAATCTACAATTATAATCTATAATGACTTAAAAGACTGAATTACAGTCTCTTAATAAAAGACTGAGCAACTATGACTGAATGTACAACAGAAACTTGTCCCTTTCATATTTAAAGAAAGCGAGATGTAAGAGGGTTAAAAGATAATAATACATTTATTTATTCACACTGAAGTTGCATTGTGATCAAAATAAAGTCTGATATAAAAAGAAAATACTTTATAAGTACTTAGAAGATGAAGAATCAACAGGCAGATACAGAAAAAATTAAAATTATTACATTAGAAACTTCTTGGCCTCATTTGTGTATAATTATTCAAACAAAAATTCCTAGAACTTTTTTTTAAGTAGGAGGGAAGTGTTACTGCGCTGGTTGGCTGTTTCTTTTTATTCGCCCTTTTAAGTGTTCAGTTCAATGTATATAGTCATGTAACCACCACCAGAATCAAAATATGAAACATTTCCATCACCACAAAAAAGGATCCTCCTGCCCTCCATGTCAATCTCCCCACCCCCAACTGGTCCCCTCTTGGTTTTAAGCACTATAATTGTGATACATTTAAGAAATCGATCCTGTGAACATCTCCTGCATTCCCAAAAATAGTTTACTGCACTCCATTTGAAAATTTAGTAAAGATAGTATTACTAAATTAATGCACCCTCTCTGGGCCTATGGCTTCTATAGTCAAAGAGATATGGGGGAAAGATGAGCACACAGTAACCATGTTTAAACTCATATTTCTAAACTTATTTGTTCAGCAAAAATTTTTTCTGAATGGACAAGAATACATTTACATGAAGAATAAGAACTGCTGGGACTAAATTGCTCAAACTTAAGACTAGAAATAATATTTATTATTAGGAATAATGATTAGAAAAACTTTAACTGTAAATTATTCTTTTATTATTGTTAATAAAATAAGTAAATAATAATACAATGTTTAACTTGTTATTACCAAGTAAGATTACAATTCAGTTAAGGTCATTTAAAGTCATGCTCATAATAAACTAGAAATTGTGTGTTTCTCATCTTTCCATCTTTCTTCTTTCACCTTAAAGTTGCTCACTCAAGAGATCTAGGTGAAATTGCTCGACCCCAGTTCATGGAGAGCGGGGGTCTGATTGGCTTAACCTTGGAGCACAGCGAATCCTAGGCTAATCAACACAACGCTGTTTTTCCAGCCTTAGTGATCCATCCAGAGATGGGCATGTAACCTAAGCCCGTCCAATCAGAATGAACCCAAGCATTTTTCTAGAAATGCTCAGATATAGAACATCTTCCTTCCTAATAAAGCGCAGAAGGTGCTGGCAGCATTAAATACCTCAAGGTCCCAAGGTGGCTGCCTTGGGATAAATCTGATGCCACAGAAAGCAGAATGGAAAAACTTAAACTTGGTCATTAATGAAGTTGTTGGATCACTGAATTAAGCTTTACCTGAATAGCCTCTTTAGACTTTTCAATTACCTGTAGGTTAATAATTTTGTTTATTCCAATTTGAGGCTGGTTTCCTATTACTTACAACTTAAAATACACTAACAAATACAAATTGTCACATTTCATTTTGTGAATGTTTTATTTTTGTATTGGATTTTCATTATAAAGCTATAATACAGACAAGGTTGTTAGTATTTGCATTATGAATCCATGTTCCATTAATTTAAGTTCCTCTGAGGTTAAAGTCTTTAACTTACTAATTCTCAAGCAGATTTCTTGATTTCTTCTCCTTGGTGGGGAGGGTTATATGAATTTTAGTTTTACTGTCAAAGAAATGTGGAGCTTGGAAACTATGTTCAATCCACATTTGACATGATCTTTGTATACTTCCAATAAATGGTAATATTAGAGTTTTATTTACTTAAATTCTGACTTATTCACACCCATAGGCTCCTGTGTCTTAACTTATAATTTCTAATTCTTGAGCTGTACACCAAGACTACTTCCCCAAGAATAACTCAATATACTAGCAGATGTGAATCAAAATTTTAACATAAACCTAAAATAATAAGATGGTATAGAACTTCAACTGAACACATTTAGGTGTTTTAAGCATGGCGGACCCAGAGAAGACATGGAGGCTCATATCTACCACCCCTCATCCCAAACCTGGATGTGATACTGTGATTTATAGTAAGAAATACATGTTAGATGAATAGTACTCAAACTTTTCAGAAAAACCTTATAAAATGTGATTTAAATCTCCCTGTCTAAAGGACAAACGAGGAAGAATTTATACACTGACTACTGTCCCCCATTGCAAAAAGTATGCAGCATGGGCCCTGATTAGAGATGGTGTCAAGGTGCAATTGTCCAAAGCCCATGTGGAACCTGTTATAGTAACAGTGGCTATGTAAGAGGTAGGGACAATGGAATTTAAAGTAGCACATAAGAGGTGTTTTTATACAGTCAGTTAAGTAAAAATTACACATTTATAAAAGCAAATGACTTTAAACTACTCATGTTTCCTCTCCATCATTGTACATACTGAGAAAATACTATATGACTTCATTCTTATGACAAATGAACTGTTAAAAACGGTTTAAACTGGCTAGTTTCTTAAATACAAATACTTATAATGTCCAAGCCAGTTACTAAGACATGTATTACCCTTTTAAAATGATGAAGATACTATACAAGTAAGCATTTATTTTGATCCTGTTTTAGTAGATGTGAACAACATGGGGTCTACTATGGCCAAAAACTATGACTGACCCATACTAGAATTACTATTTTTGTTGCAAATGTTAGCAATGTCTTTTTCCTGGAAATGAATGCTAGGATGAAAGATTTCCAAATGATCCTTTTTTTTGGTCTGTAATTTTTAAATGTCTTATAATTCGGGCCTCCAGCTAACATAGATATTAAAGTTCCTGAGAAAAAGTTTTCTTAGCTATTGATATATTAATGTTGATTAGCCCTCTGGCCAGCAGAAATGTCAGTTACACTATGGTGACAGAATACTAATAATGAGTGTCCTTAACTGCTATACCAATTCATTCTCTTTAAATCTGGAAATCTTAGCTTCATTATGTGATTCTTCTCTATCAACAAACACTACCTTCCTAGTTACTGCATCTTCTTGGTTTTATCACACAGTTCTTGTACCAGGAACTCCCACAACATCCCCACTGCCTCTGCCTTTAACTAGACCCTATAGAGACCTTGCCTAAATTCCTACATTGCTATCATTTTTTTTAGCTATAATGAATCCTGTACAATATCATCATAATTATCTTATTAAAACAAATTTGATTATATTTTACTTAAAGTCAGTTTAGCTTCCAATTACGTATGGGATAAAATCCAAAAGCCTTACATTTTTTAACAAAAGGACATTAAATCTAGCTCGAATCTATCATATTTCATCAAATCTAAGATGCCATCAATCATAAGATTTGTTCCAATTTCTCACGGTAATTGTATATTTCATCAAATCTAAGGTGCAATCAATTTAAGATTCATTCCAATTTTTCATGGTGATTGCAAGACACAGTAAGATGCATGCTAATTTCAGAGATGTTAAAATGGAAAGCAATGTGCATATTACAAAATCATTGAAACATCTCTAACTGTATCTATCATCATTCTAATGCAGACAATCTATTTTCTAATCAGGATACATCGCTGATCACTAAAAAAGACTCTGACTGTAAAGTTCTTCCCTTACTTTTTTTCCCTGGCAAACTCCCATTCATCTTTTTTAAATTTCTCATATGCAACCTCTCCTAGGAAATTCTCTCTGCCCAACTTCTACCCAACGATTCCAGTGTGAAGCTGCACAAGCTGTTACCTGAATAACTCCAGAGAGCATTGTTCACAATGTGAAAGAGAGCTCCAAGAGTTGTGTATTAAGTAAGGCACTGCTGGCCTCCTTCCCAAAGCTTTATTCATTCCTTCCCCCAAAGTACTATAAGTTCTTTGATGAACTATTTAGTTGATTTTAGAGGTTGCTTTGTACTTTATTTCAATCAACTCATCTTAATCAGCTAGACATAAAGTGTAAAAAATCTTTGTGGAGCCATGGCCAATAGTGTATGGCCATGCCACTCCGATCAAGCCCAATG